CTTGCCAAATTATCTTTCATGTCCTTGCCGCCAAACTGCCTAGTGTTTGCAAATCTTTGGATGTTAAACAAATTGTCTAATCGGCTTGGACTTTCAGTCGCTTCCAATATATCGGATGCTTATCTGAAGCTGAAACAAATATGAAACTATTTGAAAACGATATTAAATTTGAAACTTTTGTTGAATGACGGCAGCGACGAGACAAACACTGAGAAAAAGTTCCTCGAAATTCCTCTTCTTTTGCTGTCATTTTCGCCCTTCTTCGGAGATCTGTCTATCCAGGATTTTATGGGCTGAACCCTTCTATTTAATATATAGATTTTCTCGTTCCGTTGTCTATGTCTAGGGATTTCTTATATTCTTATTTTAATACTGCTTAAATTATTGCTGACTGTGTTTTCCATGGAGTTTTATTTTGTACCATCCGACCAAGCGATTGAACTCACATTTAGTATGTCACCAAATTCCATGAGATAATATCCTAATGGATTAAAACACTGGTTTGTGAACATGATGACAAAGTTCAATCTCTCGGGCCTCAGTAATAGACTCAATGGAAATGGGGCGAGGCATAATCGAGCAGTAGTAAATAAGAACAAGACGGTGTATGCCTTGATATGACCAACATAAAGAGAATAATTTGACCTTGTACATTAAATAACGGGTTCAGTTCGAAATTACTTCAAGGTTATCTGGTTAGTCAGACATCTAAAGAAAACTAGATATAATTTTTTTTCTTTAATCAATTCACTCCAGACAAGGCAATAATGCCACTAAGACGCAATGGGCTACTGACAGTGAAAGAGATAGAAAAGACGTTATAATGAACCGGAAACACAACCCTAAACGGAAAGCAAGGGATGAACATCTACTCCTCTTCAAAAGGCCAGTAAGGTGTGCAATACTCCTATTATATTACACGATTGATTTAATTTTTACAGCTTATCAACCTTCTGCAAATCATTTAAAGCTATAAAATATTTATGAACTGTAAGAATTTTTTTGGAGACAATAACTATTTATTAATACTTGTATTAATAAATAGTTAATATTTCTACTAATTAACCCATAGCCAGGGGAAAAGATGTGGTTTCATACCTTTCCCAAAGTATTTTGCGTAATTGAATATACGAAACCGACTGAAATTGGGACTCAGTTCTCCGATTTCTAATTCTGAGGAAGAAGCCCAGAAAATGAAGACATACAAATTATATAATGGTTAATCGACATTTTTCCGGTTATAATCAATTAGAAAATCGAGCAGAAATAAATATAACATGTCCAGTAGGCTAAATTATTTTTATATGATAATATTCAGACAAAGAAGTCTCAAGAGCCACTCGAGGTAGAAAGTTACGATGAGGTGTTGTATGACTGTAAAAAGAGGCAAGAATTGAAGTTCATGAGACATACGAAAAAAATAACGATTAACCATAGATGTGAAGTGGTCATGGTTGTAATGAACGTCCTGCCGAGAGCCTGTTATACGAGGCAGCAGTTCTTTGGAAGAATCTGTCCGAATGAAACCTACTTCTGACAATTGGAATCCAACGGGAATTGGGATGATTCATCTTTGGGTACGTTGCGTGGCAAGTCAGTTATATAGGTCAGGTGTGGTGAGACTAAGGAGTGAAACTCGTTAGAGCATGTCATGGAAATAATGATATAGCAACGAGAGGCTAGCAAGGTTTCGTCTGTGGAAAAGGGGTTGTAGGGTGGAAAATATTTCATCTTCCGCATGGACTATTAGACGATTTTGAACTCTATCGAGACAGACAAGATTTGGCAGCAATACTCCATTTTTGGTCTGCACAAATTTTCAAAGACTTCTAATAATAAATCGGATATAGGATTTCTATTTGCAGTATGGGGAAAGCTTTCGTCCCAAAAGACGTTCAAGACAAGGACCCTCCTTGAGAGAACACCCATCAATAACGACAGATGAAGATTCGGGGTCTCCTTGGTGGTGGTGGTGGTGGAACTTTATTAATTTTCGCCTGGCCGTACACCCTTTAAAAATATAAGGTTTTACTAATTCCACTAAAGTCTATTCCATCTTCTAAGGAATTACAGTCAGTTATGTGCCATATTTGATACACGCTTAGACGATCATGTATCTTTCGACGATGCTGATTTTTTTCCGCAGTAGGTTCCCATTTCTTTCAGCAGTAGACCAGTTACAATCCAAGGCTATAAAACCCGGTCTATCCTGTTATTCACCCATAGCTGGGCGAGAGAAAATGAGGATTCATACCTTTCCCAAGAGTATTAGCTCGTAAGCGAACGCAATGGATTCGACTGGCATTAGAAGGCACGGTGGAGTAATGGATAACGGCTGGGACTGAAGAATCGGAGAGCCGAGTTCGAATCCTCCTCTTTTCCCCCCGAGCTATGGGTAAATAGCAGGGCATACCTTGAATGGCAACTGGTCTACTGCAGTAAGAAATGGTAACCTACTGCGTGGAAAAATCTGCCTAGTCAGTCATGTATCGGAAGATACGTGATCGCCTAAGCGTGTATCACACATGGCACATGAGGAATTAATTTGAATTTGTCCCCAAATTTTTTTTCTGAAATAATTTAGCGAAGAGAATTAGGTGACACTGGCCTACATTCCAAAAGTAGCAAGAAGATATGAAAATTGCGAACATTAATGATTCCTTTACCTTTTGTATTCGATATCTTTCCGATTTGTACCCCCGTTTAATAGTCCGTTATTTATATTAAACAACAAATTTCTGAAAAGAGAAAAATGTAGAATAAGATAAAACTCTCCCACAAGTCAGCATCCCCTTCACCCACAGAAAAATGAATCGTCACCGTCGGTGCATTAATTGGAGCACCTCTCAATTGCTGTTGCTTCCAGGTCCACCCTGACCTGAGATAGTAGCACCTGTTACGAGTCCAACTATCGACAAATATCGAACACCCAAACAAAAATCGACAGCACATTTTTAAAATAAAATTACCTACCATACATTTGTATTGTAAAAGGACAATCAATACTTCACTAGAAACGTATAAAAATACATTTTATTATAAAATTACCAATAATACATTTTTATAAAAAAAAATTACAAATAATACATTTTTTTTAAAAATTAACAACAATAAATTTTATCATGTACAAACTATATATCTAAAAAATCATACTTTTGCCCTGAAAGAATACAATTATGTACAACATATCTATAGTTGAAAGCATAAAATTACGTACAAAATATATACATTTCGGCACAGAGGTTGATATGCCGCTAAACAAAATCAACCAACTGAAATTTACCTGGAGCTGCACAATACTTATTGTCCAGGCTCGACACCCTTCAAAAGCATTTGCGCGGTCTTGTGTTGTGATGAATTGTTTTTCACCTTACAGACCTTTTTCCCCAAACGAAATCTTGCTATATATCTTACCACTTGGTAATGGCCACAAATATGCTATCTACGTCGTGGAGCACCAAATATGCACACCCTATTGCTAGACGTGGCAGCAGATTTCCTTTCTTCTTGTCGTTAGCACCAAATTCCGAGTGAAGAGTACATATAGAAGCCAGAGATATTTTTCACACGTTTAAGGTTTCCATCTGCCGCTGGTCCCCAAATAAAGTCGCTTACTCTTCATTCGTTGCGTATTTGTCGAAACGCGGCTCTTGAAGTTCTTTTTGGTCAGCCGTGGTCTATGGTTTCCTGGAAGCTAGTAAGGCGAACAGATTATAAACAGAGGTGCAAAACATGTAACAAATACCAACAATAGCGTAGGCTGTCCTAAAAGGTTACAAGCACTTTTGGTTGAATTTTCAACTGAGCTCTCATGGCATCGAGAAAAGGCTTATTGCTATATTATACGTAAGTTTTGTGAGTTAGTCTTTCTTTTGGATTCAGAAGAGAAAATAAAAGAACAAAGCTCTCTTGCAGCGAGAATTTGTGGCAAATTACTCCAAAATCCCTGCGCGAACTCCTGGCCGACTGTGGGCGAACTCACTACGCGATAGATGCTTTGGTTTATATACACTTCCATCAGGCGGACGACATTGATGGATATTATACCTAAACAAAGAACTTCATATTACCATTTCATGTGACCGATGCTTATAAAGTACTCTGACGAGACATTTTGGTAAGAATTTAATATAAATATAAGTGGTTTGCTAAGTCTGGATTTTGCAGAATTTTGGTAGGTATATTAATCTTGTCACAGCAACTTCCTCACTGAAACAGCGAAAATTCAGTTCTACTGTATTTACTATATCTTACTGGATTTATTGGGGGTTCAAATACCACCGATCCCATTCTCCAAAACATTTTGTAGATCTGGGTTTATACTTTTAAACCGAACTTTTTAAGCATCATGTTCCAATCTGATTAACTAGTCCGCTATATTTTTTCTGGTTGGCATGTTATTCTTTCATTTAGTATTTTAGCCTCTCAGTACCACAACTTAACGACGTTTCATACGCTATTATGACTTCATCAGAGTCAGTTCTAAGTTACAATTAGCCGTTCGTTACTCTGTCATTATTTTCATGGCAGATGTTCAGGCGAATTACATTACTCTGTTTAGTTCAGAAAATGACAATTTAAATAGAGTCAGATAAGAAATAGCATTGTGCATAGAAAAAGATAAGAAATACCATTAAAAATGGAGAGAGAGGTAGAACACCATTGTACATATATATATATATATATATATAAGAAAGACCATTGTACAGAGAGATGAGATAAATACTATCGTTAATAGACAGAGATAAATAAAACATCGTACACAACGAGAGAGATGAATTGCCATTGTTAATAGAGAGATATGAATTGCCATTGGGAATATAGAGATATCAATTGCCATTGTTGATAGACAGAGATGAATAACGGAATTGTACACATAGGGAAATAAGAAATACCATTGTAGATAGAGAAAGATAAGAAATGCCATTTTAAATCGATATAAATAAAAATTATATAAAATATAAATAAAATGATAGTAGTCAGAGAAATAAGCAATGGCATTGTACATAGAGAAAGATAAAAAAAAATACCATTCTAAATAGAGATAAGTAACACTATTGTACCCATAGAGAAATAAAAAATAACTGTATATGGAAAAGGTAAGAGATACCATTGTAAATAGATATAAATAAAATTATAGCAGTTAGAAAAATAAGCAAAGCCATTTTACATAGAGAAAGGTAAAAAAAAAATTCCATTCTAAATAGAGATAAATAACACCATTGTACACAGAGAAATAAAAAAAAAATAACACTGTAGACAGAAAAAATAAGAAACGCCATTATAAATAGGGAGATATAAAAAAAATGATTGTAAACATAACAATAAGAAATGCCTTTGTACATAGAAAAGATAAGAAATACGATTGAAAATAGAGATAGATAGAAATGTCATTTTACACAGAGATTCCATTGTACATAGAGATACGATAAATACCAATCTAAATAAAAATAGATAAATAAAACCATTGAAAGATAAGAAATGCAATTCCAAATATAATTAGATGAAATGGCATTGTGCATACAGAGATAGAGAAAAACATTTGTAAATAAAGAGATATAAAAACATTGCAAATAAAATGAGGGAAATTGCCCCGGTACAAAATACAGAGAGAATTACAAGACTATGGTAAACAGAAAGTAAGTGAGAACACCATCTTAAACAAAGAGAAATTGAGAAAAACGTATTAATAATGCGAGAAAGAGAAACACGTATTAATAATGCGAGAAAGAGAAACACAATAGCAATAGGCATAGCGAGAATACTAAAATAGAGGGAGACACAGAGTAATATAGTAAAGACTGAAAAAGATGGAAGACGCCATTTTATTTAGAGTGTGATCGAAAATACTGTTGTAAATCGAGAAACATAAAAATACTATTGTCAATAGAGACAGAGAGAGAGAATGAGAGAGTGAATACCGTTTTATATAGAGAAACAGAAAATAACATTGTGAATATAGTGTTAGAAGATATGATTGTAAATAGTGAGAGAGTGGAGAAAAGATTATGATACATAGAGAGGAATGGAAGAGGCCATATACTAAAACTAGCTGAATAACCTTCTATGAACACTGAAACTGAATTTAACATGCTAGCGTATTTCTAAATCAATAATGACTTTCTAAAGAAAGTTAGACTAATTGAAGATGTTATAGATAACCCCAATTTACTGATAAATTCAGACTACCAGTTAATTAAAAAAGAACCTGAATGAACTAATGAACCTGATCTCCTTAAGCGAATTTCTCAATGTGATGTTAATTCAATTCATAAAAAATCATGACACACTATAGACTTCGCGTATATGCATATATATATATATATGTGTGTGTGTGTGGGGGGTCTTCTAAGTAGGTGGATCAGATAATTATTAAAATTATGTCATTTGACAAGGCAAGAGACATATTGGATAATAAATATTTCTTCTCTAAAATAAATGATTTCTTCATCATTTGGTTACGAATATGTTGATGTATTAACGTATCCCCACTACCAAAATACAATGAAAAGCAACGCAACTCCACAGACGCATGAAGAAGAGACAAACAAAGACCGTCCTGGGTATGACGATAAACTACATCCGGTAGCAACGCCTCTGATCAGAAGATTAGAGGTTTTCAAGAGCGTGCAACCACCACTTAATTGCTCTTGTTCTCAGGTCCACTAACCCGGGGTTCTAGCACGTGTTAGGTTCTCAGCTACAGGAAAATAATGAACTCCCTAAAGAACAATCAGCAGTATATTTTTATAATAAAATAACGAACAATAAATTTTTTATAGAAAAATGACAATCAATGCAACACTAAAAAGATATAAAAATACATTTTTATAGTATAATTACCAACAATACATTATATGATCTACAAAATATATGTTTAAAAAAGCATACCTTTACTCTGAAAGTATAAAATTATGTACCAAATATTGAGATTTCAGCATTAAATAACCCATATGCCGCAAAATCCAGCCAACAAAACAACATGAAAGGAGTATATCATGACATATATCCATATAATATCCTACAATATCATGACATATATCCATATAATATCCTACAATATCATGACATATATCCATATAATATCCTACAATATCATGACATATATCCATATAATATCCTACAATTTCTTTAAAAAAATGAAACTGTATTCCAAAATATAACTTCATCAAATCTACAATATAAAACACGCATATCACCGCCTCTAGTAATTATGTCCACAGAAACATGTATATGCACAAAAGCTGAGTATCATCTACCATGTATTCAATTGTGAAAGCAGAATAACATATATCATAAAACACACATATATCACCGCCTCTAGTAATTATGTCCACAAAAACATGTATATGCACAAAAGCTGAGTATCATCTACCATGTATTCAACTGTGAAAGCAGAATAACATATATCATAAAACACACATATATCACCGCCTCTAGTAATTATGTCCAAAAACATGTATATGCACAAATGCTGAGTATTATCTACCATGTATTCAACTGTAGAAAGCAGAATAATATATATCATAAAAAACACACAGATATCACCGCCTCTAGTAATTATGTCCACAAAACATGTATATGCACAAAAGCTGAGTATCATCTACCATGTATTCAACTGTGAAAGCAGAATAACATATATCATAAAACACAGATATCACCGCCTCTAGTAATCATGTCAACAAAAACATGTATATGCACAAAAGCTGAGTATTATCTACCATGTATTCAACTGTGAAAGCAGAATAACATATCATAAAACACACATATATCACATGTATATGCCTCTAGTAATTATTTCCATATCATAAAAAACATGTATATGTCCACAAAAAAGCTGTTGAGTATTATCTACCATGTATTCAACTGTGAAAGCAGAATAACATATATCATAAAACACACATATATCACCGCCTCTAGTAATTATGTCCACAAAAACATGTATATGCACAAAAGCTGAGTATCATCTACCATGTATTCAATTGTGAAAAGCATAAAAACACAGATATATCTATAAAACAAAACATATATGCACAAAAGCTGAGTATTATCTACCATGTATTCAACTCTGAAAGCAGAATAATTATGTAAAACACAGATATCAAAAATTTCCACAAAAACATGTATATGCACAAAAGCTGAGTATCATTTACCATGTATTCAATTGTGAAAGCAGAATAACATATATCATAAAACACACAGATATCACCACCTCTAGTAATTATGTCCCAAAAAACATGTATATACCATGTACAAAAGCTGAGTATCATTTCACCATGTATTCAAAATTGTGCACAAAAGCAGAATAACATATATCATGTGAAAACATAACATATATCACCATATATCACTCTAGTAATTATGTCCACAAAACATGTATATGCACAAAAGCTGAGTATTATCTACCATGTATTCAATTGTGAAAGCAGAATAACATATATCATAAAACACGCATATATCACCGCCTCTAGTAATTATGTCTACAAAAACATGTATATGCACAAAACCTGAGTATCATTTACCATAATATTACTTCCAAGAAAATTAAATTTCGTCATTAAATGACCCATAAGATGTTGATATGCCGTTAAACAAATAAATCAACGACAAAAAAATGACAAATAAATATTATACACACAGACACAAACATATCAACCGAAAAGTTCTTTCATAATATTAGGTTGGTGCAAAAATAATGACGCAATAATGTCGTTTTTTAACTTATTTTTAAAGTCAAAAAACGACATTATTACGTCATTATTTTCGCACCAACCTAATAGTTTCAATCTTGAGAACCACATCACTGTCACTTCAAGTCTCTTCCTCTGTGAAAAAAACGACCATTTGTTTGAATGATTGATTTGTTTTTACGGTTTATCCCCCCTTTGCAAATTATTTAAAGCCAAAAAATATTATAAGATTATAATAACACTTTTGAGATAAAAATGATTTACTGATAAATGTCGCACTAATTAGCCCATAGCTGGGGGGAAGAAAAGGGATTCATTCCTTTCATGCGTGAGTGAATATAACGAACCCGATTGGAATTGGAACTCGGCTCTCTTATTTCTCTTTCCGAGTCGTTATCGATTACACCACCCGCAAATCCATAGCACCTGGTATTCTCAAGTGGTCAACCATCTGGGTACTGACCAGGATCGATACTGCTTCGATTATCGTACGAGAACCGAAAATCGTTCACCATTGTCTGTCATATACGAGGATAGATATGTCATAACAGTTACTGCTTTATGTATGCGTTCAGGAATCATCAGAAAATTGATGCTCCGATTGTCCCCTAAAAAAAAACAGAAAGGTAGTTCGTATCGTAGTAAAACGGAATTTCCGTTGGTCTGCAAACAAACCTACATAAGTAGAAATTGGAAAATTACTGATCAAATACAGCGTTCCTTCATAATGTTGACGATCCTGACTTTCCATAATTTCCTGCTCTTTGCAGCTGTAAATAGCTTTTGACGCTATACTATCCCTCTTTGTCATTGCTCTGCTATCCATTCACACAGACGTCGTTAAGTAGTTTAATGTTTACCTCTGCTTCTCTTGCCTTGAATATGCGTGTGTTACATTCTTCAAGCCGTCATTTCACATTTTGTCTTCCAGAATTGTCCACTATTTCGGATTATAAAAGCCCTTCTGGGACACATTTTATTTAAAACTTACTCGTGGCTTATACGTTCAGGTCATGGAATTCACAGCTACGATCTTTGGAGGGACAGATATCTGTCACTCCAATTCTCGCCTTCTTTGGGGAAATACTTCACTATTATCTGTCATATAATAGAATAGATATGACAATAGTTAAGCACAAGATGGTCTTATCTATTAATATTTATATCACTTCACGGAGCAACTGTCGCTATTTCATTGTTCCTTCGGCTTTTTGTGCTATATTTCTGTCGTCTGTTACTGATTTTTTTTTTATGAATAAGAGTATGCAGGCAGCCATGATGCAGACGAATTTTTTTTTATTGTCTGTGAATTTTCATACATTCTTGGAAAATAGAATGGAGTGGTTTCTCATTGCCTCATCGACGGTTTTGAATTCTTTTGTTGCTAAGTTTGCGGCCGCCAATAATGAATCCTGTAGGACTAATGCTCTTAGAATGGCCTCACTGAATAGGTTAAAAAACGTCTAGCGAAAAAAAAGTGACTTTTTCTTACATTCTTTTTTTTTTTTTTTGTATTTTTACTGAACTCATTTTCTATCCGTATACAGGTGGTTTGCAGCAAGTATTTGTTCCGGATTATTCTAATATCCTTCCCACTGAGGTTATCTAAGAGATTTAGCAGTTCTTTATGACGAATTACATTTTGGGTAACACCATAACACAGCGATTCACAAACTCCTGATGTTCTTAACTGAATATAATTTTTCTAAAAAGTGTTGGGTGTGCAGATGGTGTAAAAGAAAGCGGCTCGGAAAAATCAGGGAGCCGAGCTCAGATCACAGGCAAGTTCGTTACTTTCACTTATGCGTAAATACCATTGCGAAGGTATAAATCCATCTCTTTCCCTATTATTCCAGCTATTTTTTAATCATTTCATCCCAAGCAAGTCAAGAAAGCCTCTAGGATGCAAGAGTTTACTGAGAATATGAGAAAAAACACTATTAAGGAGAGAGGATAATAAAAGAATAAGAATTAATAAGACAAGATAACGACTGACTGCATTTAAATTTTTGAATATCAAAGAAACCGGTAGAGAGTTCCACAAGCGAGAAATTCGATGGAAGAAACTGCTAGTATAGGACTTGCGGTTATATCTAATCATTTCAACTGTAAAATGATCAGACCTTACTGCCAATCTCGTTCTGCGCTTAAATTCACAAAGTCTAGGTACTATAGGGTACCATAGGGGAAAGTTCATCAAAATAACTACCATGAAATTATTTATAGGAAAGACACAGAGAAGCTACGTTACGGTGAGAAAA